TTGCTGGAGACACAGCTAGCGCTGTGTTGCGTCCTACAGACACTAACATACCGATGTGCGATAGCGCAGGCGATGAAGGCCAATGGAGTATGCAGCGAAGTAAAAAGGAGAAGACAACGGCCGACAATCAGCGGCGTTGTAACCTTGTGATATTTCACGCACCTGAGTCAACGGATGCTAGTCATCAGGCTCGTTATTATCACGATGTAAATGTTATGCAAAGCCCGACTGATAGGTTTCTCGATGTAAATGAACATGGGTTGATGGTGAAGTAAATCATCCGCCTTGGAAAGAGAGAGGAGAAGAAGTCCCGGCCTTTGCGAGTCACATCTGCTGATATAACGAGTCCGAGGCTGTCACCATCCCGTCTAAAGATCCATATTCGCCCCGATTTGGATCCGTTGGACAGATAGAAACTGAAGTCCGCTATCATGGAGTTAAAGCGGGGGACTGATAGTGGAGAAACCAATCTACACATTGTCAATTTTCGGGTAGTTCCCCGGGTCCGCCGAACCAGAATCAACAGATCGATGACGCTTCATGCGCATCCGCCGGTTCCTACCGGGCCCTGCGCATAGCCTTCACAAATGTTTGTATTTTAATGAACAAACGTAACCATGTTTTTCATTTCGTTGCCTCTTGTCATCCGGACGTACTAGGACTGCCGGAAACCTGGTTAAATGCTGTGGTCACTATCCAGGATTTCCAGATCAGTGTCTACTCGTGCTTCCGATGCGACAAATTATCAAATGATCGAGACGGCGTGCTGTTATACATTCGGTCCATGCTGTGCGGGAGACTGATACTCACCTATCGCAGCGAAGATGGCTTGTGCGAATAGTTATGGTGCTCGATCCGCACGAGACAAGGTGAACTGTTTGTGGTTGTAGTTTATCGCAGCCCACGAAGTCGATGCCTGGATTTGTTGACGCATGTCAAAAGTTACATGAGTCGGCCCCGCTTCCTGCTTATGGGTGGTTTTAACTTCCTTCGAATACGGTGGCCTGAGGTTCAACTCCTCGCCGGGCACTGTGAAATCGAGACGCAGTTTGCGGAGGTGGTATCTGAAACTGGGGCAGCACAACATGTCTACCAACCGACGCGCGTTACAACGCATTCCGCTCCATCGTGCCTGGACCTACTGCTAACGAGTTGCGAGCAACATGTACATGAAATTCACGTTCTGGCAGCGTCTGGCAGCTAGTGACCACTTGATGGTGTTAGCAAGCTTAGAGCTGCCGCTGCTTTACTCGCGTCCACCAGAGCCTCCCTACAGTTATTGGAAGACGGACTTTAATGGTTTAATTCGAGCAGCCAGTGAAGTAGACTGGCCGCTGCGGCAAGATTTGGCTGCTGAAACCTGTTGGTGTCTTATAAAAGAGAGTATGCAATCGTTTTGCGCACGTTTCGTACTCCTCAGGTATCGTAAAGCTGGACCAGTGAAGCCACATTGGTTTGACAGAGAGTATGGTCAACTGGCTCGACGACGACGCGTATTGTGGAATAAATTCCTCGTGTCTGGCTATGCCGATGATTATGAGGAGTGCGAAAGGCAGCGGAATCTATGCAACAGCGCAAAAGCGTCGGCAATTTGAAGCGGAGCTTGCAACCTCAGCGAAGACGGTTCCCAGGAAGATTTTTGCCTATGTGAAGCGGCACCTGAGGTCCACAAGTGACGTAGCTGTGTTAGAGGGCACTGACGGACAGCCTCTGATGTGCAGTACTGAACCTGCGTTCGCAATGAGGAAACACTTCGCTTCTGTAGTTACAAGGGGGTATGCGCCTATGCCAAGCTGGATGTGTGCAGCCCCTACTGAACTCGATGGCTTCGACTGCGGTGTAGAAGATGTCCGCAGTCCACTCGCCAGGCTTGATGGCACGAAATCTGCCGGACCCGACTGACTAGCCAATAATCGGCCATCATCTCGACTGCTGTGACGGATCGGTTCAATAGACCGCTGTCCGAAGGTGCATTGCCGAGCGACTGGAAATGCTCGGTAGTGAAGCCGATTCCAAAAGGTGGTGACCCACGCAATGTGGACTATTACCGGCCGATTTGTTGCACCTTTGTTTTGGAGAAGGTGCTCGAGAAGAATGTGAAAAAGGGTCTTCACAAGCTGCTGGAGTCGAAGAGTCTCCTAACGCCGGCATAGCACGGCCTCATGAAGGGCCGTTCGAGCATCACTAAATTGGTGTTGACACGAAAGGAATGGTTGCAAGTGTTGGATCGGGGGAAGTCAGTGGATGTGATCTACATTGATTTCAAAAAGGTTCTCGAGAAAGTGAACCATGAGGTCCTTCACCACAAGCTGTGGATGTGTGATGTTGGTGGCGCACTGCACTAGTGAATCAGTGACTTACTTATTGGGAGAAGATGGCGGGTACAGGTGGATGACCACCTAACGTGATGGTACCCGTCCACTAGCTGCGTAGCCCAAGGCACAGTACTGGGGCTCATTTTATTCCTGATCCACGTCAACGAAGTACCGCAGCTTCTTCGGTCGTCCTGAGATTTATTTGCGGAGCACCTGAAAATCTGGAGGATTATTGATTCCCCTAACAACTGTGACGTCCTACAGTAGGACCTCGACCGCTTATCCCGGTGGTCTGAAGAAGCTGACCTACCGGTCAACCCGGCCAAGTCTTCGTTTATGAACCTGGTGACGGATGTTAATGGGCTTGCGTACACCCTGGCCGGTCACGCGTTGCATCCCACCAGTATCGTAAAGGATCTAGGCGTACTCACACACCGTGAACTGAAGTCTGTCGACAACACGAACAGACTGTACGCAAACGGAGTACGCCTGTTTTGGACACTCCGAAAAAGCTTCTGCACTAAGTCTGAAGATTGACACCCGTCTGTTCTCTTCCATAATAAGACCAGTGCTTGAGTACGGCTCACCCGCGTATTGTTCGATCACAATAGGTGAGGTGCTGAGACTGGAACCAGTCCAGCGTGTAGCTACCCGGCTCATCCCCAGTTTACGGAGTATGTCGTACGAAAACCGGTGTAGGAGACTAGGGCTTTATGCCCTGTCATATCGTCGGTTTCGAGTTGATCTCATTACGATGCACCTCGGCCACTTCCCCATGTTGAAGCTGCTGCTGTACCTTTGCGCACGAAGCAGCACACGCGGACATTGGTACAAAATAGTGGTACCGGATTTAAAGAGCATCGCTCACCCTCTATGCTTCGAGCATCGAGTGGTAAAATATTGGAACAAGTTGCCGGAGACGCTAGTCGAGGCGAAATCGGTGTCGGAATTTAAGAGATTCCTTGACACCCACTTTGCGGACTACAGTTATAGGGAGCGTATCGCACCCGGATAAGATGTAGTGCAGCTGCAATATGCTGCCACTGCGGGGGGGTTCAGCGACATGATCCCGCGCATGTGCCCGATCCACCTACGATGGACCAACACAGATTTTTATCTTCTCGCTCTCCATTCTAAGTATCCATCCCCATCATCATCATCACAATCACCATACACGTTAGCTAGAGGTGGAAAACACTTCTGCTATAGTGCCACGATACATTAAAAAGAAAAATGAAACATAGATACGTCGTCTGAGTCATCAGTAACGGATAAGCATCGTTACGGAGAGCTAACAGCCGGCTATGGTGTCGCAGAATGAAGTATTATATCATGCATATGAATTGAGATCGTGGTCAGAAGCAGAGGCTAAGCGGGAGAGTTGCCAAAATCGAGGGTGGCGAGGGACATAATGCGCTATATGGTCTTAGTCGGGCTGGAATCGAATGACTGTCTATCTGTCGGACGTGCGTTTACTATATTAAACCTCCCGTGTGATTTGCAATGTCTGGCCACGCTTGTTGTGAATGTTGACAAGATGCCTACCTGTCAAACATCCTCCACCTCGACTACGGGCTCCACAAGACTGAATCGTAGCTGGGGGGGGGGAGGTGTGCACGTTCCTCATGGACGTACCAGGCTCAAAGAGTGGTTCCAACCAGTGTGGAGCGGGCTACGGCCCAACCACCGTCTTGTATATGTCTGATACGCATGGTTCCTCAATCAGACAGGAATGCTGTGTACGTTGAAGTGTGGGTCGACTCCATGGCTTACATCCACATGCTTCTCTGTCTTATTCCTTCGGGTTTACAAAGGCAGGGCCTTTGAATTTGCTGTTGCCGTTCTCTCCCGAAACATTTTTTGCGCTTCCTACAGCAAGCGTAAAAATTTGTATATTTTGACGAATTCGTTAGCTGAATAATTTAAAGGTCACTGAGCACGCCCAACTCCACAGATTCTTGCAAAAAGTATCCGAGACATCGTGCATAACGCGCAGTTTGAAGCTTTTACGTAAAAGAAACAAGTAAACAAAAGTTCGCCTCGTCAATTGGATGAAGAATCTTATACTTTGTTCAAACAACATGCGGAACAGAGTAGTTAAGTGATATCCCCGCATTCCTTCACCCATTCTGTTTTATACCCTTTGTGGTAGATAGTGTAAAATGCTGAAAATGCACCCATCTGGCTGCATACAGCTTTCCTTGAATGCACCTTACTTGGATATAGGGTGTGTGGAGGGACCATCGATGACGGCATTATCTATCTATCTATCTATCTATCCATCCATCTATCTATCTATCTATCTATCTATCTATTTATCTATCTATCTATCTATTTATCTATCTATCTATCTATCTATCTATCTATCAGATCAGATATGGTATAGTTGAAGAGAGGAGTGTCAACGTAATCTATCTCTGACATTCAACTCCATTAAATTTGAGTTGTGCAAACAAAGTTTTCATTGCCTATGATTTGTTTTATATTACCGACATTGCAAGAATGACCGCATGAGTTGTGATTATACGGAACGCCGCATTCTCGTGTCTTGAGGTTGAAGTGAACCGAGCTGAGCTCGAAAAATAACTGAGATTGCAACTAATTTGGTGTAGGTTGGAAAGTGATTGGCAAACATCTAGTAGCTGGGCGAGAAGTGGAAAGCAGAAATGTGCACATCATGCTTACTTTGACTTCATTGTACAGCTGGCCGGACAAGATGGGCGGCTGGTTGCGCAGCCCAACTGTAATCTTCTTTCGTCCGATGTCGACGACTACATCGCGACATTTGATGCGATGAGGGAGCTAACGGGGAAAATAAAAAAATACAGAGCTGACTTTGGCATAGAGGTGGTGTTAGGTGAAATAAATTCTAAAAGAGAAAACACATCGACGACACAACACTAAAACAACAAGCGAAACAGAAACTTCCAAGAAGCAAATTTCATGCGGATACAGAAAGGAAATGACGAAACCGATCGGAATTCGTCTGTACTGAAAGCAGACATAAAAATAAATGATGTTTTTGCAATCGTTGAACGAAATTGTGAAGATCAGACGGGCATAGTGAAAAGAGGGTGTCACAGAGACGACAAACAGGTGCCAATAAGCGCCGCTCCATTAGAGAAGAAGATCCGAGTACCCAGACACGACAGCTTCAAGCTAATTGGTTTACCATAACAACAATAGTAATAAACAGTTAAATAAGTTTAAGAAGCCGATGGTAAAGATGCAGGGAGAAAACCTCAAGGGAAGAGGTAAGATAAGGGCCAAGAACGATCGATGGAAAAGGCAACGGTATAACGGCCCCAATGACTTCAGAAATGTGCTAAGTATGCTGCGCGCTACTGAAGAGTCCCAATAGGACGAAAAGGCTGGTTAGCGCTTTCCTGAGTCAAATGAAGTATGCGATCCCAAAAATTGGCAGTAACTGAGGTTATAAACACAAAGGAAAGCACTAGCCCGATCAAGTCCTCATGGCTAGGCCACATTAGCCACCTCCCTCTCTCGCGGCTGCAACCAGCTACGTGGAGCATGGAAAGACACTGCATGTTATTAGCAAACATAAAAACGTCCCCAACCTAACAGATAGTTCGTGTGCAATGGTCTCGCGGTACATCACTAAGTCTGTCGCAGAGCATGATCTGGAGTACTTCAACAATTCTCATCCAGTGGTGGTATAAAATACGATGGGATGCGCATTCAACGGTGACCGGAGTCGACAAACCTATTAAGGTATCCCGCAGCACTGACTAGCTCTGGTCCCCATTGTCTGGCCCAACGCAATGCAATGCTGCACACTTAACATACGACCGATCACTTAGTGACACGGCTCCATAAACGGAAGAGATGTTTAAAAAAAACAAGGGTTTTCCCAATAGACATAGTACCGTTTACTGTGATCTGAAACCTTGCAGTCGCTTAAAAGGTATTTCGTGATCATATTGCTAATACATCAATTCTGTGCTGTATACCTAAGCCGAACAATTGTGCTTAGCGAGATTAAGCGGAGCTCGACTCATGTTCTGTCTACTTGGCTGACGTCGACTACGTCGTTCATTTGCCCAGTCTGTGGTGAACGCGGTTGTCAGGCAGGGTAAGTTCATGTAATGCTGTTCGCTTTTGCTTGTGAGCATACTAGCTCACATTTGTGCTGGACCGCACTGAGATTCCGTCACGAATCTGATCTGTACAACATTGGCAAGCTAGCCTGCACCGCGCTTCATTGGCTTTTCGGGCACCAGTGCCGCCTAGATTTCGCTCGCCTGAGTAACCAGCTACCACCACAAGCATCTATGAAGAAGGCAAGCACAGACCTAGCCCAGGCTTTAGGTGAGTTCCTTAAAACGGTTCTGCCATAGTACTGACGGAAAAGCTCTAGATTTCAACCGAGTAGGTTAGGTGAGTCAGGAGGGTTGCGTGGTCGGCTAGCCGAACAACCTTCACGTAGTGCCAGCTGGGTGGTTCGGGTTAATCCCGATCCAACTAATAGTTCGGCAAAAGTGTTGCAAGACGTGGTGGATCTTCGCCTGACAAGCGTTCTCTCTATAAAATGCCACAAATGTTTGCATAGTAAAACTAAGGTAGCGGATATGACTCGGTAGTAAATAAACTCACTGCCTTGTCATACCGAAGAATCTTACCCATTTCGTGAACGTCAATTGCCCCAAAGATTTCATCTGATCCCTCCCTAGATTGGCGAATCCCCCGAACAAACACAAATTCACAGTATGGTAACAAATTCACTCAACACGATGACTTACACATGGTTGGCGGCATCCGGTTTCGGATTTGCCTGTCACTCTGGCCAGCCACACGACGCGTGCGCTTACAGAAGGACTATGGATGGCTTGCGCTGCACCACCCACAGCTCCAACCACACACCCTATATCCAGTGTAAACCCGAAGGAATAAGACTGGGAGGCATGTGGATGGGAGCCACGTTTCATCAAAGGAGCCGGCTGATGATTCCCATACCGTTGACTCTTTTGGCTAAACTTTGAATGAGGATCAAGAGCCTACTGCCATCCTCCAATGAAGAGAATGAGTTTGTTTCACGCCGAACCATAAAGCTGCTTGTTATAATTTGCCCTGAGTAGTTGGAAAGTAGTGGGCCAATAGAACACAGGTGAATAAATCACTGTGACGCGCAAAGGTTCAACTTCGTCAGGGTGAGAGTCAACATTGACTGCAAAAGGTGGTTATCGACGGACTGTGATCACCAGACGCAAGAGCTAGCCAACAAACTTGTTTCATTGGCTCATCATTAGCTTGTTTACTAGCTATTGCTTCGTAATTCCAACAATCCAAGGATCGAATGGTGGTCCCTACAAACGGTGACTTCATAGCCGAATGAAACTCGGCACAGCAAACACCAACGTAAGCTGCAGCACTATCACTCCCATGAGTTACGCTCGACGACGCTCGATTTGCAGTTCTACATTCCTTCGAAACAGCGCTATTTAAGGATGGGGTAGAGTCCTCTTCAAAACACGGACCTCCCTGTTCCAACAAGTCTGGAAGGAAGAGAACATCCGAGCTGACTGGAGTGAATTGATCATTGTGGCAATATACAAAAAGGGAGGTCACAATGAATGTGCGAACAATGGAGTATTAACTTAGCACCAGTGGCGAACAAATTATTCGCCTAAATTCTCATTCTTCGCCTCACTGTGAAACGGGAATCTCGGATTAGAGAAGAACATATAGGTTTCCACACAGAAAGAAGCTAGACAGAGCATATATTCACTCTGCAGGAGAAGTTAGAGCAGCGTTACAAGCACTACATTAGGTGTGTTCCTCGATTTCAAGAGTGCGTTCGATGCTGTCGATCGATGCATTCTGTACGAAATAGCTGCGCAGAAAGATGTTCCTTGAAATATGTGAACATTTTACGTGCTCCATACGCGAACACTACTGGCCCTATCAGTCTACAACGGGTTGTCGGGTGACTCTCCGGCAACAAGTGGCGTTCGTCAGGATTTCCCGGTTTCTCCTTCTTTGTTCATCTTCGTCGTGGACTCCAGCATGGAGTGTTCCCATGCGGAATCTCACAATGTAGGCGTTGTGGTGCAAATTGGTGGAAAAGTAGTTGATTGCGATCATGTGGACAATGTAGTAGTAATCCGGTCAACCCCGGATAACCTCCCTAGAGTGGTCCCATCATTTGGCATACGCTTCGCATCTTCAAAGTGTACAGCGTTGTTGCAGTACCAACGGCTAGAAGAGTCAACCTAAACCCACGATATCTGTGGAGTCGAAAAGGGTTTCTCTCACTTTGAAACGCTGTGTGTGTAAGTCCACAGTGAGGGCCGTCGTCCTCCATGGTGGTGAGACTTGGCCCGTTCGGCCTGAGGATCGGAGGCGCCTTTAAGCCTTAGGTCATCGCTGCTTACGGAGCATTGTTAATGTCGGATGACAGCAGCGCATCCGCAACGCCGAAATGTGTAGGCGATTACTAGGCGGTGATAAACAGGCTAATTCCACAGCAGAGCATATAACGTTGAATTATGCGCTGGCATGGTGTTACGTGTTCAACCAATGATCGCTCACAATGACCGTGAACCTGATTGGCCCTACACACACACGTAGATAAGCACGCACACACGCACTCAAGGACACACCCTAACGTTCCGTGCTCACATGTAAACCGTTAAGTGTTCAGTACACTGTGCGCCCGACTGACGCGTCTTCTTGCTTATTCGCTACGAGTTGAAATACGTACTTGCGGTTAGAGTCCAGTTGTGATATCTGGCGACGGAGGTCAACATGTCCATGACAAATACTCCACCGGTCTTCTGGTCGTGCTCTACCGACAAACCTTCCCTAGACTCGTGGCATAGATTGCGGAAAACCTTTACGGATTACTTGGAATTGCTTCCAATCTTGAATCCAGCAGTATCTCTTACTGAAAAAAACAAAGTGAAGCTCTTGAGATAGTTTCTTGGAGATGAGGGTCAAAGGTATTTCGATGCACTTCGTATTGATCAAATCTCTTCTACGATAACCGGCGTTTTGGAAACCTTCAGTGCTCTTTGGGGTGCTCGTCAGAATGTTTTTACGGCTAGATACTACTTCTCGAAACTCTGCCAGAAACCAGATGAGAGTGTGAACAAGTTCATCGCTCGTGTACTACAAGCAGCATCTGATTGTAAATACAATGAAGTCGATCCAACGAGATTTGAAGAGACCATGGTACTCCAATGTTTGATAGCCGGAATCTCAGACCAGAGCACGCGGGAGAAGCTCCTTTCACAAGATGATTGTTCACTGACCTGGGAGACGGCCTGCTCGATTGCCCGGCAGAGGGAACACCTTACACAACAACTCGCAACATTTACGCTGAAGGACTCGTCAGATGAGCTGCGATTGATTAACACTACACCAAAACCAAAGCCACCCACTGGCGTCAATTTGTTTGTGTGCTATCGTTGTGGTGAGCAGCACAGTTGTCCATCCGACTGCCGGCATCAGAAGACAGTATGTCGAAGCTGCGGGAAGGTGGGCCACCTGGCGCGAGTGTGTAGATCGGTCAAGCGACGTTCAGGTGGGGCTTATCGAGGAGCAAACCCCATCAAAACTGTGGACGAGTCTGATGGTAGCGATCCTGAATTACATTCCATTTGGCTTAATGCCGTTTCTAGCATGCAGCCGGCGCCATACACTCTAGAGCTTTACATTGAAGGACAAAAGGTACAGATGGAAATCGATACAGGAGCATCCGTGACGATAATCCGGGAAAACGCTGTAAAAACGCTCCCGAACTTATCCGCTTGCAATTCTGTTCTTCGTACATTCACCGGTGA